CTTGAGCTTAACATCTTTTTGAATGGTTAGTGGTTGGCACACGATTCCAAGTCAGTGTATCTAGGGATAACCCTACATTGCACACTTACATACAAATACCATCTCACTAAAATAGCTCAAAAGATCAAAAGCAGAAATTGTCTCCTGAACGAAGTAGTAGGGCCCACCTGGGGAGTCAATGCACAAACTCTACATAGTTCAGAGCTTACTCTCTGCTACTCAACTGGAGAATATTGTGCCCCAGTTTGGTTAAACTCTGCCCACACTATATTAGTGGAGACACAGCTGAATCATGTCATTATCACAGGCATGTTGAAGCCAACAAAACTTGAATGGTTACTAGTCCTAGCGAATGTTCCTCCACCTAACATTCGGTGTCTGAATGCAGTTAACAAACCAATCACCAACGTACAGCAAATACCACACTAAGCTCTGTTCAGGGATATATGGGATGGACCCCACCACTGACTGCAAAGCAGAAATCCTACCTGGACAGTTTTGCACACTTTCCATCCAGTTGACATCATCAGTTCATTGTGCCAGACCAAATGGGGGAGAGCCTCTGCCACTACCAGGAACTCCTACATCATCATCAAGCTGTATGACTGGCTACCTGGCTTTGGACTCCCAGCTGCCTCAGCTTAACAAGTTCAAGTATGGGGTAGTTCACTGTACCAAGACCAATCATGGATGGGGCATACAGGAGAATGCACTGTGAATTTGTGGTGCTGTGGAGAATGCTGCACACATGTTGAATGGTTGCTCTTTTCATGCTGGGCTCCCTGGAGATCTTCTTAAGCTGAAAACAACTGATTCAGAGACCATGGACTGGCTCATAGTGATTTAGCTGGGGGGGGGGGGGAGAGGAAAGAGGTGTTTTTAAACCAGGCCTTGTCTTACCCACATACAATTGCTATATTCACATATGGCCTCTTCGCTTCCTCTGGTAGTCAGGGACTCTTATGGTGGTTTCTTCTGGACAATGTTCTCTAGAGCATTCAATTTGGTTCTCTGACTGCTCCGTTATGTTTCCAACTTGGGTTGAAGTCTGCCATTTAAGTTGTTTGGGTGCTAAAGCCTCCTTTAAAGGTCTTACCGTGGCTCAAGAAATAAAAACCACTGAATAGATTCAAGGAGAATTCCCCTCACTTGTGTATTTAAGGCAATAGGCATGCTGAACCATTAAAGACATAAGGCAGATTCTCAGCTGGTGTAAACTGCCATAGCTCCATTGAAGGCAACTATGACAATCTGCATCAGCTAAATAGGTGCACCATTATGCTACTAAAAAGGAGCAGATGTCTTATCCCAGATCCCATCTCAACATTCACTATGGAAGAGACCCAAGCCCTCCAGAGGTGCAGACCTTTAACTTAAAACAAAACAAAAAAACTAGCACTAAAGCAATCATTACCATAAAACTACTACCTAAACTATTGTTGAAACTTTAAACTAAACCTATTAACCAAAACTTATAAAAATCTATACCTTAATGAGTCTGAAGTTCCATGGCTGAATTTGCTAACAAAGAAATGAATACAATTTTGGGGGGAGACAGGATGACAAAAATCTTATGCTCTCTGTTCAAAAACTTTTGGATCTGTGGAAAGTCACAAAGTCAGGCCCCTAATGATTTTACTGTTGTCAGTGGTTTCATAACTTGCAACTAAAAGCATGTGACTTACTGTAGAGAAATCAGGAGGATCTGCAGAGGCAATTTCATGAGAGAGATGGGTTACGAGGGGACCATGAAGAACAGCTTAGTTGCATATGTCAAGGTACACATGGGCCAATGGTATAGAGCTCTGAAATGGGATGTTTTAGATACAATATGTGGCTCCCAGAGTGGGAATCAGCAGAGGCAAATTTATGAAAAATATGGATATACAGAACAATACTAGTCCTGAGTTATCCAGTCTCCCCAAAGGTCAATTTAAAAATGAAGAAAAAAAAAAGTGATCAGAACCAGCTTGATCCAAGTAAACAAAACAATGCTGTATCAGTACCAAAAAAAGCAATGCTACAGAAGCCAACATACCACTGCAGACTGCCATACATTCTTAGCGCAAAATAGGAATTCTATGTTATCATAATTTACAATTAGCACTGCCAAGAAATGTCTCAAGCATTCATAAACACCAGGTGAACTACTGTGTATATAGTATTCATGGAGGTAATGGATAAAAATAACAATTGATAGATTGTCTACATGTTATAAAGTGAGATGGAAGAAGCAGCATCTCTCAAACCAGCTCTTGCCATCACTAGTACTACAGTTTAAATATGATGCTGCCATGTGCCATCTGTGACATACAGATGCTTAATGTGAGAAACTGCATTTAGCTAAGCAAAATAGTGCGCATCCTATTACAGTATGAACACTCTTGGCAGTGACTAAAAGTAACTTGTCTTAATACAATTCTTAAGAGATTACACTAAATTATATGACCCTTGAAGATTAAAATTCTTTTTGATTAGTATTGAGTTCATCACATTTTTG